CTGCTCCAAGAGCTGAGGAGAACTCCAAAGCTGTAGAACTAGCTAGCCGCCTAAACCAAATGGATAAAGATCTAGCTCAAGTTGAGATGGACACTCTGAGCAGTCTAAGAGCCCCACTGAACCGCACTGATCCTGCCACAGACCTCACTAAACGTCTGAAGGAGCAAGAGGTGAGACATGCTTTAGATATCTAACTAGAAGTAAACTGTATTAAAAATTATGGTATGCAATAAAACCGATATAAGGTTGATTTCATGGCTGTCAACCTTAATCCAAAGCAGTGGTTCTCAACCCTGTTCAATCAAACACATCTGATTTAGGTCATCAGCACATTACTAGAAACTCCAAGGCCTGAAATGGATGTGTCAGACAAAGCAGACATTCAAAATGTGCAGTGTTATGTGGCCTCAGGAACAGAGTTTAAAACCACTGCTCTAAAGCAATGGTTTTTAGAAAAAAATTGTCAGTGGAACAAAGGCACCACACTGATAAAAATGATTTTGTGGTGAAGTAAATAATACAGAAAAACAAATTTAATTTGTACATTAAATAATTTAGTTCAGGCAAGAATAAAAAAATTTTAAAAAAACTGTAAATTCATTATTAGTACTCAGTTTAATCTTGTAGAATTTAAAATGTGAAGTTATAAGTATATTTTACTTGGAATTGTTTGTTATTTTTACAAAGATTGTTTAAGTAAATATCAAAGTCATAATCCTGTTGTTCCCATCATGCACTTGGGCATGAATAATTAATAAGGTAAAAAATTGTTTTCTCTTTTTGAGATGTATTGACACTGTTTTATGGTTGCTTTTGTTTTTAGGTTTAGTTACTTGCTGTTTTGTGACATCTAGAGTTCATTTTCTACTCAAAATGACCCATTCATACTCAAAAACTATTCACTGATTGTTACTGTCATTGTGTATCATGTGCCAAGTATTGAGGTCTCTGTGTTCATTTGGTTAATAACTTCACTTTGAGTCAACATATTACCTTAAAAAGAATAAGGAGCTGTCTACTTGCTTACGTACATGTTCGTAAGTGAACCACATGCTTTAATGACATGTTTATTTTCTTCAGTGCTATGTTGTTTGAGTAAAGTTTACAAACCGTGACTGAGCGAAATGTACTTGAGTATTGCAGGGTAAACTTAAAATAATTAAGTAAAAATGATTCATCAAACTCTAACTGGCCATATTAAATTTACTTATTTCCTTTGCTAATTTTATATAACTCAGTTAAGAAGATTTTATTTAATTCCATACTTAAATTTTACTTTAAAAAAATGCTTGCAAAAACTTGCAAAACAGAAATTAAGTAACTTTTACTTATTGTTTTATTTTTATTTTTTTCAGTTTAACATTATTTTAGATTATTATTCTCTAAACAGAGAACAACTGCAGCTCTCCAGCAGTTGGAAAAACAGAGGGCTGCAGCCCAAAAGGACCTGGAACCTTTACTTTCAAAGGACATTAATGGGCCAACCTCTTCCACTCTACCTCAAAAACTCAGTGATGCCAAAAACAAACAAGACAGTCTAGCTGCTCTCATTGATCTCTACAGAAAGAAGTATGTATAATTAAAAATGTATTAATATAGGAAATTATAGAATTCTAGATGTTTCAACTCTGTTGCCTCTTTTTAACATTAGAGCAAATGCTTCTATGGTATTGGAGAGACAGCTGAGGAAGATGGACAGCACTGTCTCAGGATTTGAGAAACAGCTCAGTGATGATGGTGCCATCCCAGACAAACCTAGTGCCATTCAAATCCATACACAGGAGATTCAGGTAAAGACATACTTCATCTTTAATTTACTAGGATGTATTCCCATTACGACTTCATGTCTTCCTTCTCTGTGAATCATTTACCTGGGTTACATAACCACAGCTATGACATTAAAATATTCCTAGATTTTCTTACTTTTTTTTTTTTTTTTTTAACTCAGTGTTTTTTTTACACATAAAAAAGTTATATAAAATATTTGGGACCTGTGCCTTAGAACAAAGTTATTTGGTTTTGGAGACTGCATCTCAGGTAATGCCATGGCACATAACAAATGCTTGAATCGTATGCATACTAACAAAATATCCTGTCTTTCATCCAGGGTTTGAGAAAAGATGTTGCTGGAACTCAAAGTGAGATGCAAAAGCTTAGCGAGGAACTAGAGGCACTTAAGAAGTTATGCAGTTCACTTCAGCAGGGTCACCAGGAGTACTGTCCTGATATACGCCGACAGGAAGCAGAAATTAAGAATCTTCAAAGCCGATATGCCAATGTGAGCAACCAGCTGAATGAAAGGTAAGTTCTACTCATGCTTAAAAATGTATGTAAAAAGGCAAAAATTAATCTAAAATAATATTTTATTCTAAACTGTTTAAAGTTGTTGTTGCTTCAGTATAATGTTGTCTTAAAAATGTCTTTATATTTCCTGAGAGAGAGGCTTTTGCAAGAGGCTAACACAAAACACCAGGACTTCCAGAATGTGAGCCAATCACTGAGCTCCTTCTTATATAATCTACCTAACAACAAGATTAACCCCACAGATGATTTGTCTCAAGTCAATGCAAAGCAGAACTCTCAGAAGGTTAGATTTGTAGACTATATCAGATTACATAAAAATAAATGATAGAAAAAAAAGTACAATTCTCAATGTGATTTTCTTTTCTCAAAAGAGGGTGATAGAGGATATACAGAGGAAAGGCAATGACATGGACAGGGTGGTTGATCTCTCCAAGGACCTCCAGAATTCTCTAAAAGTAAGTTAAATATTTGAGCTACAGTAAATGTCTTAATCCAGAATTACACACCAAATATAAATTTTTATTTATATGGGGTTATAAAACTATGACAGTGTTTTATTGCCATGAAAAAAAGAAATCAAATAAATCTAAGATTAAGAGATTATAGTTATAATTTTTTGAGAATAAGGTCAAAATTATGAGAATAAAGTTGTGAGATTAAGTCGAAAAGTATTTTAGAATGAAGTTGAAGCATTATGAAATTAAAGTGGTAATATTTTGTGAATGAAGTTGTAGCATTATGAGATTAAAGTGGTAATATTTTGAGAATGAAGTCAAAATTACAAGAATAAATTTGTAGCAATACAAGATTAATCAACATAATATTTTGAGAATTTTGAGAAGTATATAAAGGTGCATCTCAATAAATTAGAATGTCGTGGAAAAGTTAAGGTTAGATTTGTAGACTATATCAGATTACATAAAAATAAATGATAGAAAAAAAAGTACAATTCTCAATGTGATTTTCTTTTCTCAAAAGAGGGTGATAGAGGATATACAGAGGAAAGGCAATGACATGGACAGGGTGGTTGATCTCTCCAAGGACCTCCAGAATTCTCTAAAAGTAAGTTAAATATTTGAGCTACAGTAAATGTCTTAATCCAGAATTACACACCAAATATAAATTTTTATTTATATGGGGTTATAAAACTATGACAGTGTTTTATTGCCATGAAAAAAAGAAATCAAATAAATCTAAGATTAAGAGATTATAGTTATAATTTTTTGAGAATAAGGTCAAAATTATGAGAATAAAGTTGTGAGATTAAGTCGAAAAGTATTTTAGAATGAAGTTGAAGCATTATGAAATTAAAGTGGTAATATTTTGTGAATGAAGTTGTAGCATTATGAGATTAAAGTGGTAATATTTTGAGAATGAAGTCAAAATTACAAGAATAAATTTGTAGCAATACAAGATTAATCAACATAATATTTTGAGAATTTTGAGAAGTATATAAAGGTGCATCTCAATAAATTAGAATGTCGTGGAAAAGTTCATTTATTTCAGTAATTCAATTCAAATTGTGAAACTCGTGTATTAAATAAATTCAGTGCACACAGACTGAAGTAGTTTAAGTCTTTGGTTCTTTTAATTGTGATGATTTTGGCTCACATTTAACAAAAACCCGACATTCTAATTTATTGAGATGCACCTGTATTGCATATTTAAACTTAACTAATGTGAAGATTCCACCACCTACTCCACAAAAAAATTTCTGTTTTTCATGTTCAATACATGTGACAAAAGAAAGGTTGGATGCCACAGACGTTTTTTTGCAGAGTAGGTGGAATTTTCACATTAATTATTAAAGCTATTCACACAGCATACTATATTTTCAAAATGTTGTGATGTTAATCTTGTATTGCTATGACTTTATTCTCGTAATTTTGACTTTATTCTTAAAAAACTGACATTAATCTGATAAGTCTGACTTTTTCAAAATATGATGACTTTAATTTCATATTGCTATGACTTTATTCTCGTAATTTTGACCGTACTCTCAAAATGCTGTGACTTTGATCTCGTAATGTAGATGGTTTTTTTTATTTATTATTTTTGTTTTTATTTTACCATCGCACTAAAACACTCTCATAATAAAAATGTGAAAAGACTTTAATGGTACAATTTTTTTGGGATTAAACCATGTTATTAAATTGTATATTGCATTTATTTTGGGCAGGAATATGAGATGAATTGTGTTAAGTACAAAGCTACTCTTGATGACATACCTGCGATAGATGCTAAAAGACTTCACACCTCCACCCTAGCTAGCTCTGTTGCAAAACAGGTGAGATACCTAAAATGTACAACATGACATAAAATTCCTAATATCAATTAAATACTTAATTCTTTATTTTGTTGTACTACAGGAGAAGGATCTTACAAACCGTTATGCTGAGACAGCCGCTGAAAGTGAACAATTACTCAACCAGATGAACTTAGCAAAGTCCATCATGGCTGAGGTGCAAATGTTATCAACATTTTTTGTAGTTTACCAGTGATCAGAAGGGATCATTTGTATCATGTTATATTAAAATCCATTTTATCTTTGTTATGAAAATTAAAACATCCATATAAAGTGTTCAAACTAATCATCTTTGAAATATTAACTGGTCTTTCCTCCATTTACACAGAATGTGGTAAAAGTAAATGCAGTACAACAACAACAGATGCAACAAAAAGCCGCTGAGGACACTGAAGTTCTCCAGAAAGAATTAAAGGAGGAAATTGCAAACCGTACCAACGCAGAGAATAGCCTGAGCACCATCAAGAACAGATATTTATCTCTGAAGAATCGAAGAGGAGTAGAGCGAGTGGAGGAGAAGGAGGTTCTGCAGTATTACCGTGACCCAAAGCTTGAGGCCAATGTGGAGGACTTTCAAAAGAAAATTCATGAAGAAGCACTGAAACGCACCAAAACACAGAGTGAGATTGAGGTACTGTCCAGAAAGATCAATAGCCTAGAAAGTGAACTTAAGAACACCAAGCCCAAGCTAGTGACAAGAGAAGTGACAGAGGTAGAGAAAGACCCTCAGTTGGATTTAGAAGCATCAAACATTCGAGAAAACATAAGCAAATTGAGAAGTGAACTTAAAGTTAAAGATCAAGAGAAGGCTCACCTACAAACAGAGATGAAAATTTTGGAGCAAAAGAAGCAAAACATAAAGGAGAAGGTGGTGCAAAAGGAAGTAGTAAGACTGGAAAAAGATCCAGAAATGTTGAAGGCAGTTATGACATTTGAGATGGCTATCTCAGATGAAGGTGAGAGGAGCAAATCACTGAAAAGTGAAATCTCCCAAACCAGGAGCCAGATCAATACTCTTGAGAGGCTCATTCCAACTTTAGAGCCAAAAGTTGTCACCAAGGAGGTGAAAAGGGTTGAGCAGGACCCTGGACTCATAAGTGAGTCTAAAGATCTTCTGACTACAATAGAAGAAGTGAGAAATGAGAACAGAAGTCTCATTACTGAGCTTAGCAACCTTCAGTCACACCATATCCAAATACAAAGGATGAAGCCCAAAGTGGAAGTCAAAGAAATAATTAATGAGAACTTCAGGGTGTCACCTGAGACAGAGGCAGAGATGCATCGCTTGAGAAGGGAGCTTCAAGACAATAGCAGACAGTTCTCAGACTTTGAGAGACAAATTAGTCTTGTCAGAACAGAGCTGGGAGTGCTGTATGCACAGAAACCCAAAATTGAGTATAAGGAAGTAGTTCAGGAGGTTGTAAAAGAGGAAAGAAGTCCAGAGAATGTAAGAGAAATACAGAGGCTCTCCGATCAAGTATATTCCCTGCAAAAAACCTACAGTACTTTGCAGGATGAGCTTATCCGTCTTAGAAATGACAGGGATGAATGGAAGGCAGAAAAGTCAAAGGTTGAGACCAAGATTGTCACTAAAGATGTAACTAAGTATGTTGATGACCCACTTCTGGAGAAGGAGGCAGATCGTCTCAGGAGAGAGGTCCGTGAAGAAACTCAGAGGCGCAGAACTATAGAGGAAATGGTGTTTGATCTTCAGAATAAATATATTCAGCTTGAGAGACAAAAACCAGAGGACAAAGTAGTAGTGGAAGAGGTAGTGCGTCTACAAAAGGATCCAAGGCAGATCCTTGATCATGATAGGCTAGGTAGGAGTCTAGATGAAGAAGTGAAGAATCGGAGAAAATTGGAGCTAGAGGTACAGCAGATGAGAGCACTCATAGAGGACAAGGAGATAGTCATCAGGAGCAGTGATGAAAGGCAAAGAAAGATCCAGGTGGAAACTGAGCTGAGACAAATTAAATCCAGAATCCATGAGCTAGAAACTGCCCCACCTCCTATTGAAGAGAACATAGTCATAGAGGAAGTTCTGAAAGTTGAGAGGGATCCAAAACTAGATAAACTGACTAATGGTCTTCGAACAGACATAGATAAGGAGAGCAGTGACATTATGCGTTTAGAGAGAGACATCAGGAAATTAACACTGGAGATAGAAATCTTGCAGCGAGAGAAGTCGGTTGAGAAGACCATCTATAAAGACGTTGTTCGTGTAGAGAAAGATCAGGCTGTGGAAGCAGAACGGTCTCACTTTAGAGAACAATTACTTCAGAAGAAAAATGCCAGACGAGACCTTGAGGATGAAATGCACCGTCTAAATGAGAAACTGCAGCGACAAGCAAGTAAAAGAACTACCACATCTCTGGAGGAGACCAACTTGATTCATGATCAGGACAAGCTGCAACGAGAAAAAGAAAACCTCCAGAGAGAGCTGAGAACTTTGGAATCTGAAAGACAAAACATCAGCATCTCATTCCACCAGCAGAGTAGGCTGATGAATGAAAGAAATCAAATGAACAGGCAAAGAAGCATTAAAATGGAATCAGATGGTCAGAGGCTGGAAAGGGACATCCTGGATGAGAAGGACAAAATTCATAAACGAGATAACATAATCAGGGAGCTAAAGAACAGTTTGAAGAAGGAGGATTCCTCGGAGACTCGCACTAAAGAAGTCAATGTGTCTACAAAGATCAGCATCTTGGACCCTAACACTGGTAAAGACATGTCACCATATGATGCTTACATGCAAGGCTTCATTGATCGCAGCCAGTACATACAATTACAGGAACTAGAGTGTGACTGGGAGGAAATCACCACAATGGGACCTGATGGTGAGATATCTGTTTTGCAAGATCGGAAGAGTGGCAAACAGTACTCCATCAAAAATGCACTAAAAGAAGGCAGGGTGACTAAATACCAACTACAGCAGTACAAGGATGGCAAAATGCCGATCTCAGAGTTTGCTCTTCTTGTGGCTGGTGAAACAAAATCTCGGCCATACACCCCAGTTACCAGCCAACCAACTCAACAGCTTAATGAAGAGTTCCCCATTTGTGGTGTGTATGATGTACACACTGATTCATGTCGTAATGTCCGCAGTGCCACGGATCAAAAGATGATTGACACCAACACTGCACAAAAACTGCTTGAAGCACAGGCAGCCACTGGTGGCATTGTGGACATCAGCAACAGCATAAGATATTCTGTCCACAAAGCAGCTGATCGAGGTCTTATTGAGTCCAGTCAACTACAACGGTTATTAAATGCTCAAAAGGCTTTCACTGGAGTTGAGGACCCTATCACCAAAGAACGTCTGTCAGTTGGAGAGGCTGTTCAGAAAGGGTGGATGCCCAAAGAGAATGCCATGAGATATATGGAGGCACAATTTCTGACAGGCGGGTTGGTGAACCCCAACAAAGCAGGAAGAGTTAACATTGTGGATGCTGTCAGCTCCAAGATGATTGACAGCACAATGATGAGAGAGCTTCAGGAAGAGATCAACTATGCAAAGGAGCTGACTGACCCCATCACAAAGGAGAAGATCAACTACAAGCAGGCTTTGGCTCATTGCAAGACAGACCCGCTCTCAGGTCTTCCAATGCTTCCTGCTTCCTCAAAAGATTCTGCCTATTCTTCCTCATATTTTAGTCATAAATAACCACTCATAGTCTCATTGGTTTACAAAATATGTAATTCAATCAAGTTTCTGCACTGTTGACTTAATTTATCCTTGGTTATAATAATACTGTAGTATCTATCACACAGGAAAAACAGTAAAATCCTGCACCAGTTTATACCGTATTGGCCCAAATATAAGACGACCCTGATTATAAGACGACCCCCCTTTTTCCAGATGTACCTTTTGGAAAAAGGCTTTTTAAAAACCAAATCTTGTTTTTTCTCAGTAAAACACATGTTGTCTTCAATTATTTTCATATTGCATATTTTTCCTATTTTAATTTTTGTTTTGAAAGTATGGTAAAAACTGGTAAAATGTACCAACAATCACATTTAAAAAATATACACTTTTTGATATACCATTAAAAAAAAAAAAACAGGTAGCCCATCTGAATTAGGACATTTAGGCTATCCATCTAATAGTAGCCTACCAAAATCTTATTAACAGTAGAAGTTAAATCTTACTGTAGTCTTCAAATCTGGGTACTGTCTTACGTTTTAAAATCACAAAGGGAGTTTGGTGCCATCAGGCTAACGTGACAGTCACGACTCATGCAGATGTAAGGTTTTCTTTTGCCTTTGTTTTTACTTGCGATCTTTACAACGCGCATGACGTATTTCATGGCACACTCGTTTTATGCGTATTTGGCACCACCTAGTGTTGTGGGTGTATTATTGACATGTCAAAGTCTAGACCCTGAACATAAGACGACCGCGTTTTTTCAGATGTATTTCCAAGAAAAAAATATTGTCTTATATTCGGGACAATACGGTAATTGCAATGCATTCTTAAGAAAAGAAAGAAAATATGGAATCCACACGTCAGAAAAAGAAAAAGTCCACTGAAATTTTTTTTTTTTTTCTGATTTTAAGATAATCAATATATAATGTATAATAATAAATGTGTTTAGACAAGCTTTTTAAACTTAATATGAAAATAGTCAGATTTAATCTGATCTATACTGTTCTTGTAATACAACATACTGTAAATCTCAGGTGCTATCAAATCTGCCAATTTAACCACATAACACTGAAATTAGTTAGATTGAACATAGAGTCATTTAAAAATCTCAACTGCTGAGATGCTTATGTTTACTTCGTTTTATACATTATGTAATGGGGCAAAATATTGTAACACATAGAATGCAAGAAATATTTATCAGAAACCAAATATGGAAAATATATTAGCCTTTTTTTATTCCCTTGGTATGATGGGCCAGAAGTGCAATTTCTGATTAAAAGTCATTATACTTTTATTTATGTCTTTAAAATTCTCTGTCATTTCTGAAACTGCTGTTAAGACGCAACAAAAATAATTTAAAAAATGCCATGAATGGCTTTTGTTCTTTTTTGTTACATTTACTCTGTTTTTACTAAATGAAATAAACACATAATGCAACAGTGGTATCAAACATATTTGCAGGCATATGCAAGGCAGCACACACACTCATATATAT